TTCACAAACACACACAAGCAGACACACCAAACAAGTGTATTATACGAGCTGGAGCCAAAGTTTTGCAATTTCAGCTGGACAAGTTCAGACAAAACTAAAACAGAAACCAAATGCACAAGAGCGCCATCAACTTCGGAGAGTTTTTTTTTCGGGGTACTGAGTTTTATGCCAACTGCAAGATTGCAAAAGAAAAAAAAATAAAACGGAAAAAAAGAAAAGAAAAGAAAGGGAATAGCTAGAAAAATACATGATGGACTGACTTGATATAGTAGATAGAGAGCAGGTTATTGCTGTTGAAGCAACCTGCATCGGGATTTGCATATTTCATGTATTTATGCATAACCCGACAGTCAGGAGTCGCTAAAAGCCAACTGAGTGCTTTTAGCCCGCGGCAACAAATGCCGCATTAACGTGGCCCTTGGGAGCTGCGTCAAAATGAGTGAACAGCATTTGCATATATCAGCACAAAGACTATACATATTTATGCACGGATGCTGGTACAGCCACAGAAAAACATATTTATATGTATATGTACATATGTATGTGTTGCACAAATCGCATCAACTTTATTAAATATGCATATTTATGAGTGGACTTCACGAAAAGGGACTCTCGCAATACGCCAGACAATGCAAAAATGCAGTATTGCAAAAATATTGCATAAAAACTAAATGTAGTAAATTCACACGGTGGGAACTACAGAGCTTTTAGGCTGCAGAAATGAAAACACATACAACTATGTGGTTAAAAATTTAAATTATTTTAAAATTGTTTGCATCTACATACGAATAGCGGGAATAACCCGGCCTAGCCCGTGGCACGTATAAAATAAATGTTCTCAAAAAGCTTGGTAAACAACTAACTTTCATATAAACGTTTATCACTAATTAACCCCTTTGTGGGTGGAATTTCACAAATCGCTGAAACACGAATACATAAAGTTCTTATGTAGAGCTTAGCAAATCTGTTTGAAGCAAATCGGGCAAAACTTAAAACATTGCCCAACAAATCTTTGAATCACATTTTTACCGAGAAGTCTTGGATTTCGCGTCTCAAATGATTATTCATATAGATCCTTTGAAATGAGTTTGAGCGTGAAACGTCACCCACCAAATCTTTGACCTCCATTTCCACCAAGGAGGAATGGATTTTTTGAAAAGTGTGAAACGCCCCTCAGATACATTTTAACAAAGATCTTTGAAAATAAGTTTGGGGCCGATCGGATGGTAAACAAAAAAGTTACATACACGGCGTTTTAAGTTGTGTCCGATTTGCTTCAAACTTATTTTTAAAGCTCTTCATAAGAACTTAATAAGTACGTATTTCAGCGATTTGGAAAATTCCACCCGCAACAGTGGTAAATTGGCGGAAAAAGGTTGTATGAAATTTTTTTGTTTACCATCCGATCGGCCCCAAACTCATTTTTAAAAATCTATATTCAAATTCATTTGAGGGGTGTTTCACACTTTTTGAAAAATCCATCCCTCCTTGGTGCAAATGGGGGTCGAAGATTTGGTGGATGACATTTTGTGTTCAAATTTATTTCCAAAGATCTATAGGAAAAATCATTAGAGACGTGTTTCACATTTCTCGCAAAATCTAAACTCCTTCGGTGGAAAATGCATTATTAAGATTTTTTTGGTGAATTTTAAGAGTTTTCCGATTTGCATAAAAGTTGTTTGATTCCCGTCCGATCAGTTTCAAAATCATGTTCAAAGCTTTTTTGATTTTATAACATACGTGCCACGGGCAAGGCCGGGTTATTCCCGCTAGTATTATGATAAAACAAAACATTGGCCTCTAAAACAGTTGTAATCTCTGGACTCTGCTATGATTGTTTTTGTTTTTTCAATGCTATATGCATGCAGTTATCAATATGTAAATACTGCCAAAGCGAGATCAGGCGTTTTTAATGATGATGATCGGGAGGTTCACAAAATAGCAGGGAAGATAATCTGTCTGGTTTTCGAAGTTTGTGTATTGTTATTTGTGTGAGAGGATGATTAAGTATACTTGATATATATATGTATATTAAATAGTATATGTATGTCTGCAAGTATTCTGTTCTTAGTCCCTCTGTTCTATTGGTTGAACGCTTGTCATAGACAAAATTTATGACATACATGGGAGCTGCTGCCAGAGTGTTCGTATATAATTCTGTGAATGCAAGCCATTGATAGCTTGACGTCCCTATCCTACTGCACTTGTTAGATATTATATATTTTAAAAAATAATCCACAGTTGCCTCCAGCAGGCCAGCTAACTATTAGTATTTATACTGAGAAGGTCACTTACACCAATTGTATATCTAATGCATTACAAGCAAATCTTTTTTATGTTAATTGTATCATTATTTACATGCTTAAATACACTTTTATTAAAAATAAAAACTAGCAAGTTTGAATAATTATATAAAATAATTATATTTCATTGTGAGAGCTGATACTAATATTTCAATAATAAGATATTAATGAGTAAATTAATATGAAATTATTCTAAATAAAATCATTTTATAATTTCAATTTTTAATTGACTTTAATTGTGACTGTTGCTTTGAATCAATAAGTTATGAGTACAAATAATAAATAAATAAAAATAATATAAGTGTTGCTGTTAGTATATTTGTTTGTGTTCCTGCAGCTTAATTTTCGTCTCTAACTGCCGGCACCCACTCCACTGTGTATCGTAAACATTTTAATTAGTTATCGACAGTTTCTGGTTTTTGGCAAAGTTTATTCACATTTCGTTTAGGTCTGTATCGTTTTGTTCAGCTTGGAGCCAAAAACGTCAAAGCCAGGCCAGGTGAAGTCTTGTCTGGAGCGGAATTCGTGCCATTGCAACATAAAAATCGTTGATCCATTGATCAGCCCCCGATAACTGGCAGTTGATGGCGCCGTTTGGCAATGGCGTCTTGGCGCGCCCAGCAAATGGCTACTTGACCGCGCCCAAACCGTTGGCCACTGTTCGTCTGACCCGTCCGCACGTGAGTGAATGCTTGGCCGAGCGCTGCGCTTAGTCAATTGAAAAGCAATTCGCCCAGCCCAGCTTGAGCCGGAGATGGAGCTGGTCATGCATAAAATATGAGCGTGTGCTGCGGCTGCCTGCAGCCTGTCAGGCATAACTAAATTTGTTACCGCTCGCTTGGACCTTCACATCCTTTTTGCTAGTACATACTACATATCTTGCTTAACGCCCTCGTCATTTTTATCAAATCCGTACAAAATGAAATGCCTCTCCTCAATTGGGTTTAGTTCAAAAGCCCATCAAACTCATTACATAACAGTCAGCCAGGCCATTTTGAGGGCTGAGAAATTGTGCTTCAAAGCCAGCTGGACAAGCGAGAGCATAAAAAATAAAAGATAACTCTAGGGTAAATGGCGAGGAGATACCCTGTACTCAGCATTAAGGTTTGTATATAATATTGCTGAAGAAGAAACAAAACAAATTATAAGAGCTGAAATTGTATGTGTAATTAGTTCAATGAAATTTCGGATCGATATTGAAAATATTTCATAAATATAGGCTCTATACGAGATATAGTATGGGTTTATCAGCTTGTCTATTGCTGCACATCAAGAATATATATAAATTATAGGGCCATAAGAAAAAATCTCCAACTGTTTGGCTCCATTACACCCATTTCGACCCATTTTGACAAGTACAGGGTATGGAAATGGCATTTTGGGTAGTCAGCCTCAACTTTATGATGATTATGATGCGCCCTTTGCGTACCATATGAAATATATATGAGCTTTGCCTGAGTTAATTCTGCACGCTTGAGCAAAAGGAGCCCTCATCAATATGGGGCATCCACAAATACAAATTGCACAAATAATTTACATAGTAATTAAGCGAGCTTAAACGTTCTCATAACACTTTGCACAATCCATTGCATACTTGGAAGCCGCGCGCAGTTTTGCATATAAATCGAAATGTTAATGCAATCAAGGTGATCTGGGTAGAATGTCAAATTCTAATTACGTAATGCTGCCGCTTAAATCAATTCCAATTCCAATGCAGCGCTTTAATTAAGTGCCATGCCTGACGTTAACGTAACGCATCATTTCCGTTTCCGTTTCGGTTTTTCCAACTGATTTTCAGCATCTACTCTCAACACCTTTTGCTGATGCTGCGTCTATGATAGTCGACTTGCCGTCCCCCGCCACCCCTTCTACCCATACACTCGCATACAAATGATAATGATTTGAAGGGGGCAGCAACGGGGAGGGGCCCTGCGCAGACAGACGCAGTTTGGTTTCGCCGCAATCACCGATTGCTACAACAGCTTCCAACTAGGTTGGCTTTGTGGGGGGGGTTGTTGATGGGCTGCTAAAAATTCCGAGAAATTCCATTAGATAATTGCATTGCTTGATGTGTGAAAACCCAATAAATGTAAATTGAATGCTCCAATCGGATTACACAAACAGAAATTCATATTTACATAAAGTGTAAACTGAAAAGTTAAATTTGTTCCTCTTTATTGACTCAATTAGGATAACAACACGCAACATTAAACAACTTTTGTTAACTGCAGCGAATTTTAAAAGCTAAGCCCTTAAATAGTTATTCGTTGAGCATTGAATAATAAAAAATATTAAAGAAATCTTTGAAAACATAAAAAATAAATATTTTATTGAAAAAATATTTGAGACTTGAGATCTTAGAGTGCTTTTATGTTAATCATCAAATCTTATATATATTCAATTTTATATATATAACACAATAAAAGAATCCCGGATTTCGTCCTGAAAATAAGACATTTGCCTTTGATATGTCGCATTAGGTGATATGACATGATATATTATAGTTTATGACCGGATTTTATCCAATTTTGTCGCGGATTTCGAAAAGAGTGTGGAACGTATTAAAAAAATGTTAACAAATATCTTTCAATGTAAGTTTGAAGCCTATCGAATTAAAAACAAAATAAATTTTTACCACAATATTCAATTTTTTATCTTTTGTGACGTATTTTCTGATTTATCTTTTAATTTGCTTACCCACTTTATACCCAGAGCGTGAGACTTTCCGTTATGTGTAAAACGTGCTTTCAATGAATTTTCTTAAGATTTGGATAAGACTTCGATCGGATAGTTACAAAACTGTATCGTTGTCCTTCAATATTTAATGGTTATGGTTTCTCGTATTTTGTATTTTGATCACCAAGAGTTTTATATATAAAGTTATGATCCAAAGTAAGATTCTTATAGGCTGATCTGATTATCAATTGAATTGTTTGTTTAACATTGTTTAAACGACATAAAGAGGAATAAATATCAAATTTCAGCATGCTAATTGATCGGTTATAACTAGCCTACTTTAAAAGTAATTCAATATTTTATAGCTAAGCAGGCATTTTAGTTTCATTGTTGTGCGGCATATGAATAGCAAATTGAACAAGTTATAACCAAAAATGGCTAAATACGGACAATACAATATATTTCAGTTAAGTTGTCAAGCAAACAAATCTGAAAACTTAAACACAGACAGACAGTTAAATGAATTCAAAAATCAGTCATCGAATGGCCGCTTTGTTTGGGTTAATATAAAGGGGCAGCGATTAAAAATCAATATAAAACTATAGATGTCTTTGTGTGATTATAAAGGGAGTGCTAAGCTCTAGACACACGTCTCTTGAAAGCAACTGAATATTATGTAAATTAAAATGACTGAAAAATGAATATGTACATGCAGTCTATAAAGGCGCGGTGTCACAAAAGTGATGAATGCTGATATATTATGAGTTATTTGCATAATTATAATAGCGTGAACATCCAAAAAGTCGCCCCTCTGTCTAAGCCCGCCAAGCGACTTATGTGTAAGACAGGGCTTAAACAGAACTTGCAGATTATCGTGGCAATCGCAACACGACAGCTGAGAAATTGTGGAGATTGTCTAGGTATTTCTTTGTTTTATCTACGTGGGCTGGGAATTTGTTGGTTACGCGCGCTGCTGATCGATTCAACTCGATTGATAAAGTCAGGCAAACAAATATACATAAGTAAGAGGCAGCTGTTAGAATTCGAGATACCCTGTACAAAATAGGTCAAGTGCAAAGGCAAAATGCAGAATAATGTGATTGTCAAAATTGAAAAAATTAAGAGAAGTTATACCTAACAGCTAATTACGGTACAAAAACCTACAGTCCAATCTTTTTCTCGCAAACTTTTAAGAGTCTCAGAGAATTAAAGCTTATCAATTGAAAATGAAACTTATAGGTTTGGTACAACTGAAGTATACTCGTTTTGCTGCAGTTTTGTATGAGTATAAGCTATAAAACACAAACGAAGGCAAAACCAGATCAGGTTAAAGTTAAAGTGGAACCGCGAGCAAAAAAAAGTAGCAAAAAACAAAAATCTGATCATGAGATGAATATTTGCATAAATCACGTGCCCCGTTGGCAGCGCTAGAAAAAGAATTAACTTTTAAAAATAAAGCGACAGCCACTAGCTGAACAACAACTCTAGACAGAGACAGATATGGAGATATGGTGGAGATGGAGATGGAGATGGTTGGTATCGTGCCTAGCACTGGCCAGTTTAGAAACTTATGTAAATGCATTTGCGGCGGCCCGTGAACTTGAAACGAGATGATTTGCCATAGCCGAAAATTTGGGATTCAGTTGTCCAGTGGCTGTTGAGCGAACGAGTCGGCGAGCGAGTGTGTATCGAGTATCGAGTACTCAGTAGCGAGTATCGAGTATTGACGTGAATCATAACAAACGGTCAGCCGTGTGCGTAAATTATGTACAGGACGTGCCTTTGTGTAAGTCGTCAGCGGCCAAATAATTTGTCAATTTGTATGTGGACTGTAATTTATCTTGCAGCTGATATCTGTGCTGGGCGTCGTATGCGCCGCCAATCTGGGCTACTTGCCACGCCAGACACAGCAACAGACGCTGCCACAGGTCCAGCCGCAGGGCCAGGCGTATTACTACAATGCGCCCAGTGTGAGCACCATGGCGGCGCTGCGTCGCATCATACAGGGCCACCTGCAGCGTTTCCAGCTTGCGGACAAGCAGCGTTTCCAGCTGGGGGACAGACAGCGTTCGCTGCTGTTGCAGGCTAAGCCGGAAGTGCAGCTGCAACCATCGCAACGGCAGCCCGCTTTGGCTGCCACACAGCATAGCTTGGACTCCGCGGTGCCACCAAATACGCCGACTCCCAAGAACTATGCAATGAATTTCCTGCCCGATGGCAAGGATGTGGCACCCGGAACTTCCTACATACCGCTCAAGCTGCTGCGGATTCGACGCTGATGAGAGATGACGAGCTCGCTGATTGACGCCGGCATCGGCGTTGGCGTCGGCATCGTCTGTTATTCAAATTAGTTCGAGGCGGCGCATGTGGAATGCCGTTCTTGATAAGCAGCCAGTGGCAACCAGTAAATGAGGTTAATTTGTTATAATCCTACTGGTTGTTATATAATTTTACGTTATATTTAAATACCATCAAGCATAGTCTCTAAGCATTCCGTATTCTTATTTAAGCCCAAACTAATTTGTGCCTACAAATACAAGTCGGAAAAAAGCATAACTGCGAGTTACGACTCTTTTAATTTCAGCCTCCAAATGGCCGAATGAGATAAGGAAAACTAAAACAAGAATAAATGGCCATATTTAGCACATCGAAGATTAAATACCCTTGCGGACAGGTGAATAGAATTGTTTATTTGTATTTGATGAGTTTCGTGAAGATGGATTCCTTGATTCTTGGATCATATAACTATATGATACAGCGGACTGATTTAGCATATTTACTGGTTGCAACAGAAAGACGAACTGAGAGGCTAGTTTGACTAGATTTAGCTGTTTTCTCGTATTCTATGAGTTACTTTTTTGATAACAAACCTATAATACCCTCCATAAGGGTATAATATATAAAAAATAAATAAAGCTACGCACCGCTCGAAATGGTCGCTAACTATGTTGAATACACAAAAAATACATTCACCAAAATTAAGTTTGTCATATCATTTACATAATTTAGAAGCCATAAATTAAAACGCACCAAAACAACACCAACAACGACGACAGGGCAGGCGGCAAAAACGATCCCAACACAGAATTGCAATAAATTGCTATATAAGGTCAAGAGCCGTTAGGCAACCGTAGTTGGGATTAAAGTGTTAACAACAATTTGAATGCCCTTTAGCTCAAAGCAATATAATTTGATTAGATTAAGCAGTTCTTTTTTGAAATCAGCTTTTAATTACATATTCATAATGGCCAAACACATCTCTAGAAGAACATTTAGCATTTGGCAGCTGACACACCTAAACCGCTCTATTCTTATTATGATTGTTTCATCACATGATTCACAACATTTAAGCATATAAAATATTGAAATATATAAATATAAATAATTAACTGCACCGCATATATAACTCGTTGTCTCATAATTATACCAATTTTTAACAATTGTTGGGATTTTAAGACCTATTTCTTATTTATATATATGAGATTTTTTATTTGATTTCAATGTTTTTATTAACACATCATTTATCGCTTTTTTTTGACAAATCATCACTTATTTTCATAGTTTGTGATTTAATAAAATCACAAGCAATCCAAGACCTGGAGACAGCTATTTAAAAAACTTTTAAATATTGTTTAGCTATTCTGTAATGGAAAGGTCATATACAGTTTTGATTTTGTGGCTTACTCACGCGTTTGCTCAGTGCTACTCAAACAGCAAACCGGTTTGACTCACAGCTAAAACGGTTAAGCTGATAGCAAAGTGGTTTGTGAACACGCTGTAACGAAAGGTGGCTGCCAAACCTTATTGCTGGTTGTGTGACATTGCTAAAATATTAAGAGCTTGAAGCTATCCTTACTCACATGGAAGCTTCATATAAAATCGAAGCAAACGCAGCTCAAAGCGAAAAAGAAAAATGTACTGGCTATTAGGACCGCGCTCGCAACTGAGTCTTGAGAACAAAGTTCGTCTTTACAGGGCGATTCTTAAACCATTGTGGACATACGCTATGCAACTATGGGGAACAGCAAGCAACTCCAACATAGAAATCCCGCAAAGGTACCAGTCTATAACTTTAAGAACTATCACAGGCGCTCCGTGGTATATGAACAACTATGATATTCATAAAGACCTAAACATGCCCTTTGTCAGGGAGTAGTATGGACACCCGACGATTAACAAGATTACACGTACTGGATCTTCAACACATAAATTAGGTTAACAAACTAATGTAATATATATTGTTTGAACTCATTTTACTATTTATTTTCAAAAATTGTAATCATTTCTGAAAACTGATTAGTTTGGTTAACGCTGAATGTTTGGAACTAAAAATTTTTTTTTTTTATTGATGAAGAATTTATGAATCAGTCGCAGTTTCAGAAGCTTAGGGCAATTTAAAATGAAAACAATTTAATTTAAATCTATACTTAGTTTTTATTGATTCTGTTGTATAATTGGGTGATACCAGGTGGCTGCTAGCATGCTAGCTTTGATATAGTTTATGCAGATTATTATTAGTTATTATATTATATAATATTATTAGCATTATAATTTATTAAGGTATTATGTGAATTGCCCTAAAAAAATAAGCTGTGATAATGCTATTGACTTGCATACTTTATAAACATATTTTGTTAAATTGCAAAGCTAGCAAACTGGCATAAGTTGGGGTCACATCTGTTAAAGTCTGTTGAAAAATATTCAAATGGATTAATTTTAGTTAGGTTTGCGTTCTTCTGGAAGTGTTGCTTGATGAAGTGGTCATCGATTGTTGCTCCGTTTTAGGCACATTTAACTTAAACTGTTTGGAACACATCAGATTCAGCCAGGCGTTTCGATTCGTCGTATTCAAAAGCACAAAATAGACAAAGAGCACAAAGCCCTGCAGCGTGGCCGTGATGCAAAAGAGATACGAGAATATAATGCTCAGATGCATGTAGCTGCACAGACCAAAGATCCAGGTGAGGCCCAGCAAAAAGAACAGCAGCACAGACAGGCGCAGCTGCTGGACAATTAGCTGGCGTCGAGGATTGAGCGTACGCTGGATGCTGTAAATGATGCAGATCATCATGAATGCATTGGCAATGGTGACCAGGGCTATGGGCAGCACCACGCCCAGGGCCAGGCCATAGCCGGAGGGATAACAAATAGCCGCATGGTGTTTAAACTGATACACCGATGGCTTAAATGACTTGGCGTCGAGCAGCACAACCGAAAGGGTGGGCAGCAGTGGCAGCGTCCAGGCAATC